TAATAAAATGTCATAAGAAGAGACAGGGAATACTTTATGCAGATTACTGGACTATGTGAATATTTTCAGCATTTAGGTGAATATTCACATAGGTACCAAAAGTGTAATAGCAGAAATAGGTATGGATACATCTATATACATATAGAGCTGTATTTTATTCAGCACAGGGTGTTCCAATAGCAATCATGACACTTCAAGGGACTTTGTCTCATACTTTTTTTTTTTCTAGAAAATGCTAGACTGGTGAAGCAAAATGCCAAGGGTATACTATTGAATCTGGTCAAGTGAAACTTGATCAGGTTCCACAAAAGGGAAATAATAGAGGCTTTGTCATCCACCTTAAATAGTCTCTCTGATTTTTAGATGCAACAGATGATTCTGGGCAGGAGAGAGGTGTCTCATTAAGTATGTATGGCAACCATGTGAGACAGTGAATGAGCGATGGATAGTTAGTGCTAATAGAATGAAATCAAGCAAAGGAGATTTCAAATATCACAGAATATTTCCTAACAATGAGTATAGCTGAATGTGGAATTAACTGCCAAAGGAAACAATGGCTTGAGTCAAAGTCATTTCAGGCAGACAGGATTAACTACACCAATGATTACTCAAAAGATCTGTTCAGCCCATAGTTTTGAGCCTTCAATACTTCGTAATCAGTTTTTACAAACATACACTTGGCTTATCCCTTAACAGCATCTCCAAACATTATTTTTGTTCTTGGAACTTGTTTACATGACCAAGGTTTTGTTCACTTTACTACCTGGACAGGAAATGTTTTCCAGCCAAACATTCATGATTTCATAAAGCCTTAAGGACTGTGGTTACTATTTCTTTCTTTTCCCTGTCTCACCTAAAAAAAATGAGGAAACTGAAACAGTAACATTTGACATAGCACAGTACAAGTAGTATAGCTAATAACTGAAATGAACAGATCTGCAAACACAGCTCAGGTGACATTTGTTCAGTCATGCTGCTTTTTAAGTAGTATTAGCAAACAGAGCTGATCAATGAACGGAAACAGCTAAAGCTTGCAGGCATTGATGGAGCTATATCATTGCTCCTGCTACCTACTTGCCTTGAGTATATTGACTATTTGCATGACTTTCTGCAATCTCCAAGTGATTTATTTCAATTATATCCTACACTTCAGAACTGAATCACCTGGAATTTGAAGATTCTCACCCTCAGACGTAAAACTGCATCAAAAAGATTCAGTCAGAAAATCAACAGTCACATCAAAAAAACTCTGTGAACAAAGGTATTAGTGAGTGCTTTCCACTCACAGGATTTCAGGACCCAGAAAGCCTCATCCAGTTATCTTGAAAAGCGTAGCCAAAGACTAAGCAATAGTATAGCTATTGCCATTTTTGTAGGCATCTATCTGCCACAGGATGGAGATTAAGAGAACTATTCACATGGCAATGATCCTGCAGGAGCTTATTATGATCTTCATGAATCAGTAGTAAAATGTACTATATTGCAGTCATCATAGCCTCCAGATGCCATGTCTTTATTGCCTGTCTCAAAAATTCATAAATGTGGACATGGGGGAAGATGTCACGTGCCTTTGCTCTCAGTCTCCAAAAGAGCGTTAATAAACATCTGCCATCAGTTTTAATTTAACTGATTCAGTCGATATTTTGCCTTTGGTTATATTACTTTCTTCTCTGTGACTTGCTTTTTGATAAATGATTTCACTGCAAGTGTGAAGACCCTTTTCCTCTTTCTAGAGTAAGAAAATGATAGTTTTAAAATAAAAGCTAAAAATCCTGTTGAACAAAAGTGTTATGTTATATAATAGTTCATTTGTCGCTGTTTTCCAAGCTTGTTTTTCTCTGCAAGATCTCCATTAACATAGCCATTAACAAGTTATTTATCAAATAATAATCCAATAATTTAATATATTTTTAATAAGACAGCCAGTTTTGCCCTACAGAGAATGAAAATATTTTTCTAAATTCGATGACACTGTTTATTTACAGATAAAAATACAAAGTTCATTCTGAATCTTGTTGTAGAGTGAGACCCTAATTCCTTTTTGGTGACTTCTATGAGCTCTGCTATTAGAAGATAACCCCACAGATCTCTTCTACAGAAAATACAAAGGTGCAGTTTCAGAGACAGACCAGATGTCAAACTTCAAGAAAAATAAAACAAAACTGAAAGGAGAAGATTTGGTAATGCTATGAACTTCTCTAGGGAACATATGTGAGCTCTAATCCCTCTCTGGAAATCACACCTCTTTTTTAACTCTACTTCATTGGACAAGGAAGAACATGGACTTCATCTCTGGTACAAAAAAAAAAAAAATTAAATGTATATTCCATATGCACGCCCAAACAAAATAGGAACCAGAAAATATGGCAATTAATGATATGATTTTTGAATTAGAAGTTTAATATGAGGAAGTGTTTTTCTTAACACTCTGAGACTAATGACTACATTGCAGTAATGTGCAAGGAAGGAGATTTTGTAGTCACGAAGTGTATGGTTTCCCCATTCAACCTTGCTTGCACTGTGAGAAAATACTTGATTTTTATATCTGAAAATGTGCTCCCTAAAGTATCTAAATAAAAGAATATATTCAATATGAATATATAAACTTATGATTGATATATGTTGGGCAGCCTTTTTATTTGGGTAATGTTTCCAAACTTTGGTGCAGATTTGACTAGAAGCCTATAATTTAATCAGGCTTTGAAAACTATTGATTATTTAAATGGCCAGATCCTTCAATGACAGCAGGATTAGTCTGCAAATCACATTTGTTAATGACAGTGTTTATATTTATATGCAAATATATGCACTTCTAATCATAAACTTAAAAACTGCCTCTGCCAAAGGACAGGTCTACATGGAATGATGTAGCATTATACACCTGGCTCCAAATGACGCATTTGAAGACAAGTTAGGAATTTGTACACTCTCTTGTTTCAGTAGTCATACCAAATGGCTGCCTTCCTCCTTGCTAACACAGTGAATTTTGAGTTTTTCTTCTCAACACTCCTGCTGCTACTTACTGATAGCATTTTGGGGACAGCCCTAATCCTACATGTAAAAACCACACTGCATTTCAGGAGGGTTTTGGAAAAAAAAAAGTCCCTATGCACATAAAAATGTAAAATACTATTATTAATCTTACATTAAAAAGCCCCAACAATCATTTAAATAATTTCTAATACAATTAGACCAGTAATACCCTCTCAGTAATACTATAAATTTATGTTTGAACACCTCAGCTCTTCTGTGTGCACACATTTTATCAGTCTTTTCATAGTTCCATATATTGTTTCCTTGGCAGATGCTTTTTATTCTCCTCCAAAAGTCTGTCAAGGAAGAAACTTTTCCTCAAACAACTGAAACAATTTTGTCATCAAGTTGTGCTTTATTTTTTCTCACATTTACACTAAACCTCTTAAAGCATCCTGTTGCATACTTACAGTACTGTGTCTATCCATTTAATCAAAAGAAAAAAATACTACTTTTACCTGTAAATTCTGCAGCAAAGATCATGAGTTTTATTGTTTGATTCAGCTACATTATTTCTGTTAAAGAAGATCATATTTCACAGTAAACTAGATGTTGGTTTCTTGTATCAAACACCTGAATTTGCATTTGATGTACAAGTAAAAAGGCATACTTAAAAGTATTTATCATGCTGCAAAATTAACCATGCTGTAGTGTGCAGTATACTTAAAACAGCACATAAAATATTTTAACAGTATGATGGTATAAACACTTGTTTACTAAGAGCCATGTACTGAATAATCACAGTAGTACCTAAAACTTCAGAATCTCAGTTTCTCCTTAAGTAAGAATCAATTTAGAATAACCCATGGTTCCTCAGATAACAGATATGCTATTGTCCTTTTACAAATGTATCTACTACCTGTGGATATTCTCAGAATAGCAGCGCAACACCACAGCAAGTTTGATTTGATTTCTCTACTAAGATACTGCAGTTGTTGCTAAATTCTCTGTGGCTTAATATGCATTTTTTAATTACGGCTTTAATTCACTGCAAGGAAGTAAGAAAAATAATACAAAAACTATATTCTTTTTGGTTCTTATTGGTGTTAAATTAAAGTATATATCCTTTTGAATATCTATCCAAATTGAAATAACAACTGAAATCACAAGCTGTTTTTTGTCAGTTAGGATGGCATAGGGCTCTCATATACCTTAAATTACCCAGTGAAGTCAATGGATGAGACTTCCAGATGTGCGCTTCTTACTTATTCCAACACCAGGTTATTAAAAGACAAACCTCACATAGCTCCTTCCAGCTAAAATACCAACAAAGCCAGAATACTGCATAAAAAATATGTACTTAGAAAAAGGACATCAGAGACCTAATTTTCTCTAGGTTTTCAGACTTTCTTTAAGCTCTGGATTGAATTCCAAGAAGGGCATTTAGAAACCACCCTTGCTTTTCTTAAAACATGATCAGTTCTGCTCTTAACTTCCGAAACATTTGTACCATTGTTCATCTAGATTTCAAAAGAAATTCTAAAGTCATATTCAAATACTAAAGGGAAAACCTCTGAAAAACACGCCACATATTTAGACAATTCAAGCTACTGATAGAATTCTTATTTATTTGCTCTAGCACCAGGCAATAAATTATGTCCTGTTTGCCAATTTTTACCCTCAAGACCCAAAACGACATTTGTCTGAATACTATTTTTTTCCTCAACTAGTCCATTCAAGCTTATGTAATAGTCAAAGTCTTCTGTAAAAGAAACTATGAAGATCAAAACGAACATCTTCAAAGCACTATTGAAAATTCCAATGTTGCATCTTCCAGAGAAGAACGAACTAGCAACTCAGAGTTAAGGTTACAATAAATATTTCATTAAGTCCTGGCAATAACTAGAAATCCTGGCACATATTAATTTATCTAAGTGAAAAGTACTTGAAATTCAGATTTAATCTTAGATCTAAAACCAGTTTTTATTTAGGGGAGGGGGGGAAAGGATGATCATGGAAAAACTTACAATAGGAGCAGCCATAGACTTCAATTCTTAATCCAATTTGGCCCTCTCCATTCCAGTCTAAAGGAACTATCCGTATATAACGAGCAATAACTGGATGTTGTAAATCATGCCGGACGACACTATCAGAGTTTGTATTTCCAGGAAATGCCTAAGGGAGAGAAGAAGAAATAGAAAATTTTTGTATTACATCTATCTCGCGTGCTATGAAGGTTTGGTTCCAAAGGGAAATATTAGATAGTGAAGTCCTCTGAATGTCTAGGTTTCATTGAAGTTTGGTTTAAATCTTTCCTTGATAGTGACCAAATTAACACTTGATTTACAATGTTTCACAAGAATACCAAAGCAGTAGCATTGAGACCTCTTTGTTCACAACAGGTATGTTGAAATCATGGAACAGCTGCTGCTAGGTAAGAGGGTAATTTATTTTGCATCATTAATCTGTTACTCAGTTATTAACATGCTAGTAAAAGTGTCCAACCAAGAAAGAATGATCATATTTCTCAAATGTATGTCAATGTCTCAAATTTCTAAGAATTTAAAAATCTTACTTTATTTTTGATGTATTACTCACTGGAAAGTGAGTGTCCATTTTTTTTTCCTTAGGGTTAAAGCTGTCACCCACAGCACAGCCTACTTTTGGTTAATAAAACATTGGAAGTTAGGAAAAAACACAAGAAATCTCAAGGGAGTTTTGAAAATCAATGAAGTAAATATTTAACACTTGGTTTGTAGCTTTGTCCCTTCTGATAAAATATTTCATAGCATCAAGCTTAAAAGTGAACAATGCCTATTAGTTAACATAATAGACTAATTTTTTTCTCTAGTCAGTTTATGGACAAACTATTCATTCACTGACGGCAGATGTTAAAGACTATCTTTCAGTTATTCTCAACAATTTCACAGGAACTTTCACACCTCTTCATATGTAATTTTCAATAAAAATTATTGTCTTGTAATAGTCAACAGAGTAATCATAAATGAGCAGAGAAAAGGTGACCCATTACTAGAGAGCCTATGAAAATAAGACATTTTTGTGCATGCTCGTCAAAAAAAGTAGGTTTTGTTACTGAGAAAGAAATATTCAGTAGTAGTATCTACAGAGTTGCCATCTCAATAAATCCATATAAAATCCTATAATAAATACCCATAGTGGGACAAAAACCAAAGAAATAAACAACTGGACTGCAAGGAATACTATGCAAAATATACCCATCAAAAGTTTGAAAGAGACAAAATTTAAGTCATCCCTTTGCATACAGATACAGCAATACCTAATTATGTACTCAGATACTATTTATTCCAAAAGGATATTTTAGATGAACAATTATTTTGTACAGTGCATAGTAGATCAAGGTGGTAAATGTAAGGAAGATCCACAGGATCCCTTCCTTGGGGACTCAAAAAATTATGACATATACTAACAGTTACATTCATGTCACTTTTTCTGTACTGCATCTATTAATGTGCTAAATGATGATGATGGCACTCTTCATAGCTGGGCTTGTAAGATACATTAATTAATGTCTATGAAGCACTTACATATTCAAGTGATAAATGTTTATAAGGAAATTAGCAATTCTGCCTTTTGAGCTCAGTAGAAGACAATATACAACAAAGGAAAAGCATACACTGAATGAGAACAAAACCCTCTAATGAACAGCTGCCTATTCTCTTAGTCTTATTCTAGGAATCACAGAACTTCATGAAGGGAATAAATGATTTGATCCTTTAAAGATATATATTTTAGTGAGCATGCAAAGTGATGCTCCATATTTCAAGACCATTTTCTCTTTGGGCGTGTCTTAAGTACTTTGTGGTACTTGACATAATCTTACCATAACACTCTTAATGTGGGGGTTTGCTGGTTGTTTGGTTTTGGGGTTGGTTTGTTTGTTTAATTTGCTGGAAATATTAGGGGTAAAGGAAGTTAAATATAGGAGGGCATGATATTTTCTGTATAATTTGATCAAATGATTGATGAAAAATTATTTTCAAAATCAGAATGATTTTCTGTGGCTCTCCAAATTTTGTGCTGTGATTTGTGCTTTACCAGACCTTTGTCAGAAAGAATTAGAGCCAAAACTAGAAGGTGATTGATATTTTAAAGGTTTCAATTTGTATATGATCCAGTAACCTTTGCTGAATTCACGAACACAGTCAATAGAGAATAAGACAGTCTGTCATTACTTTTTCAGATTATATAAATGTATTCCATTTAGTCTCCAGCAGAACAATATCTTTTAAATACAGACTTCATTTAGATAAATGTGGTACAGTAATTCATGCTCTGTGGATAATGCAAACATCAGGCCAAAATCCATCACTGAAAGGCTGAAAAATCAATTTACAGGAGATTGTGAATTATGTACTGTTGCTGTAAAATCTCCTTTTCTGACCAAGATTTGCACATGGACTCAGAAAGGCAGGTTTTCATTCAAAATTAATTTTATAGAATTTTCCAAGTCACATGTTTGTCAAGGTTAACAAACAGGTTAATAAGATTTAAAAGTATAAATTAGATCCACATTTCCAATAGGAGATTTTTTAAAAATTAGGAATTGAATCTTTGCCTAAAAAAAAAAAAAAAAAAAAAGAGAAATTTACAGTAAGAAACTCCCTTACAAAATTATTTTTCAGGAAAAGGTGGACATAGTTGTATAAAATAAAAATTTTTTCAGATTTTTAATCTCATGAACTCATTTAAGTATTGTTGCCAGATATCTGCTTTTTACAGGTAACATGGTTTCTCTTTAGCCCAAACTGGAAAAATGACCAAAATAGCTGACTTGTCTGTAAAATAGGTAGCACTGTCTTACCAGTCTAACTCTGAAATGCTCCATTCTGCATGTCATTTCTCTTCTTGTATTGGATATTGACTTCTGTAAGTTACTTTATGTTTCAGCTCACATTGCAACAAAAAGATTGGGAATGTTGTGAGCAAATATCACTTTTCTCAAAGGCAGTGCTGCACAGGACAGCAAAGTAATAAAAAAAGAAGAAAGGTAAGAAAATATGCCCCTAAATCCTTTCTAAACACTGCTTTTGAACATGCTGAATGGAGTTTTCGAAAGGAATCACTAAGAGCTTTGCAACTGTCTTCCTTAAGAGTAAAAGTTTTTCAGCTCCAACTGTTTTTAAAAAATTACCAGGGCAAGTTTATAGTACAGATAATATATTTTAATGGTACCATTAATTAAGTTTTTTAAAAGGAAAAAAAAAAATGAAGTCTTTGGCACAGGAGCTTTGTTCAGCAGAAGCAGCAGCAAAAAGAAACTGTACAATCTTTGAAAATCACTTTGGCTTTATCAATATGCTTCAGCCACACTACTGTACATAGAGACACAGTAGAGACATTCAGTATAATTTTCGTTGGATAAACAAAGAACCTGATATAAGGTTTTGTGAAATTTGGAAGAGAAGTTAGGAAAAGTTAAGATTCAGACTCAATTTTGTTTCCTGTATCTACAGAACAATGATATTCTAATCAATAATTATGAGTGCTAAAGCTAAATTATAAGTTTATAGTAGTACTGTAGTAAAGTATAGAAGAAAAGCAACATACAGCTTAATGGTATAGTTTAAGTAAAACTGACAAAAATGTGTTTAGTTTCCTGTAATAGGACAGTTTTGAAATACCATTCTGTTCTCAACTTTAAGGATACAGTAAGTACAATACAAAATCTCATTTTGGGAAAATGCTTTGATCATCTTTTATAATAAAGGATTAAAAAGAAATTCTCAGCATTAAAAAAAATGTCTCCAAAGTAAGAAGGCTCAAGACTGAATGAAATGTTATTAAGGTAACAACAGTAGCAGTTTTTATACTTTAACCAAAGAGGAAAAGAAAGTAGAACTGTTGGTCAAATACTCAACCAAATGAACAAAAAGACGTTTTCAATCTTTTAACTCTTAGTGAAACAGACTAAAAAAACCACACTTCACCCTAAAAAATCTTCACATATATACCAGAGAACCTAACTTGTTAAAAGGGAAAAATAATTCTTCATCTGACTTAATTCAGGTGAAGAATTCTTCATCCAAATTAATGATTTATTCAGAGACAAGTATTAAAATTACTTCAATGTATGTCCTTTCTAGGGTGATGTAAAAATAGGGCAATGCATGTAATAGTAAGATGGTAGATCTTTTGCAGTTAAGAGGAAGAAGAACAAATATTTTTTTAATAACTTTCTTTAATTACTAACAATTTTTTTCATTACTTTAATTATATACTTCCCATTATATTTCTTGACAGTTATATTTTGCCATTGTCATTTTATTCTCTCTTTTAAAGGAGGGAATAATTTATAGTTCTGAATTTATGAAAAATGTCTAGGCTTCTAGCTTTATTTTGCCACAGCAATAGTGAAAACACTACAGAGTCTATGTTCCATGGTATTATAGCTCTATAAATGGCTCTTATCATCAGAAACAGGATTTGCATATAAAGTCACATTAATAAAAGTGTGGTATAATAAAATATGGAATCATCTGCAGACAGACAGAAGATGTCTGTGGGAAACCTAACTGGGCTTTCTTTGAGGACTCCAAGTTGAGTTAAGCATGGAGCTGGCTAAACCTTAAAATACTTATTTTATAGAAAAATCCTCAAAATTCCAAACCAAATACTTTTCCATAAATTTGAAAGATCACAAACTTCAGAAGTTGACAACTTCGGTTATGGATGTCAGCCCTCTGCCTGCACAGCAAAGAAAATCTGGAAAACTTTGTTCTTCACTTGAGTTCTCAGTACTCTGCATTATTGAGGAGAGGAGCAGGGCAGGCTGTGTGCTGGGAGCTCTTGGCCAGTGCCACTGTGGAGGGATGTTTGGCATAGCAGGGCAGTCCAAATCCAGGGACCCTGGAAAAATTCCCTTCATATACCAGTTCTGTAGAAGCTGAGTGAAAACCATATGGATTTCAGATAAACCAAGATGTTTCAAAAATGCATTAATGTTTTACCATATGAACATTTTCCCCAAAAACCCGCTCAACCTAGTGAGAAAATGGGATCAAGCTCTAAAAATACATCATTGCTGCCAAAAGATTTCTCTGCTTGATACCTGTGAAAATCCATCCCAAATGTATGATGTAAGCTGAAACAGCAAGAATAAGAGGATCGGGTAAAGGAAAAAGTTATAACATTAA